ATCACCAAAATATCTCTAGCTATCTGCGCTGTAAAAATAGCTGTTTCCTCAGTGCCTTTTGCATTTTACACTGAAAAGGGGGAATAAAATGGCCTTCTTTCACAGGGTGCAATCTGAATGTGGTATCATTCCAAGGAAACCAGTTGCTGATACCATACCATCTGTCGATTGCTTTCTATTAACAGAGGTGTCATACTAGCAAAGTTCTTTGTTCTTTTGTGAGGAGAAAAGAGTTCTCATCCTCCTACTGTATTCTAGAAAATAAATATCCTTTTTAAGATTAAATTTACTTTAAAAATGTATCAAACCTTATTATGCATAATGTAATCCTTTCTATCCAGAGCTCTCACCACACTCCGTTTCTGCATAATAGCAAAAATCGCCCCTTCTCATTCTATCATCCAGCTTCATTCCTCCTTGTTCACATATTTACATTTCAAAAGTTCCCACTAGCTTTGTCTTCTTTTCCTTCCATTTCCATTCCCGTCTCCCTTTCTCTTCCCCTGCAAAAATCCAGCCCCCTCTGTGCACAATCTCTTCTGTGCCTTCTGAGGATACTATTACTTTGCAACCATAGTTCCTTACTCTGCTTCCCACACCTGCCTCCTTTCCCAATGCCTTCTTCCACGACACTCCTTCCCCCTTTGTTCCTTGCTTATTCTGACCGAAGCAAGTATATTCCATCCAAAAAATCAGTAGAAAAAACCCAGACATACGCCTTTAGAGAGTGAAGTTCATCAGATTTGTTTTAAATGTCTGCATTAAGTGATGATGAATTTTGCATTAGAGGCAGTTATTTCCACTGACTATGGAGTTCAGCTTTCTGTCTCTGACAAGATGGAGTGGAGCACTCAAGTAAAGAGAGGATAATTCCACTCTGGTTGTCTAGAGTTCTAAAGTTCTAGTAACAATTTCTCACCTTTTCAGTAATTTCACTCCCAATTTTCAAATATAGGCACCTGGGCCTGTAACCTGTGCAAGATGTTCAACTGGATCTTCCTCTAGACCTTGGTTAGGACTAAAACATGATATTTCTCTTTTGTCTTTTTTTTTCTTTTTTTTTCTACAGAGTATCTCTGAGACATGGCCACATCAAGCTGTTATTATCTTGCACCTTTCATACTGTCCACTCCCAGTAACTGATATCCAATCCTGTTTGTTTAGAATGAAGCCATAAAAAAACCTTTTTTCATTCTTCCTGATTGCCAAACTCATTATAGCTCCTCTCGGAGATATCTCTTTTACACCAAACATAAGTAGCAAGTTGAGGGCCTTGAAAGAGAAGACATCTTTTTTCACCATACCTGTTATATTTCATTTATTAAGATGCCAGCCTCACCTACTCATTAAATTCTCATATAACCAGCTGCATCTCTTGTTTGGTGGGTTTTTTTTTTCCTCAGCTGGCCTTAAATGGCTAGGGGATGTGAAGCAAGGCTCTTGTGAGTATCCACGAAATAATATCCTTCATGACCCATCTTAAAATTTTAAAATCTAAGTTTTTTAATCTAGGCCATGGTTAGAGAGCTACTATGCCAAAACAGCGCCTACCACATAAGCAATACTGTCTCACTGCTTCATCCCAACAGCAGAGGCATGATGTCTACCTGGGCAAAACACACTGCTCTGCAGAGACACCTAAGTTGGCTCTGGCTGAATTAATTCAGAGAGTGGAAACACAGCGTAACCACCTAATTAGCTCTTCTCAGAACTGGCTGAGAAGCAGAGCTATATTACTTAAGATGAGCGTAACGGTTTTACATCTGGCTGGTACCAAAGGTATTTCTGGCACAATACCATGCCAGACAAACCTACACATAGGGCTTGTATGGGCTTTTTTGTTGATACTTATTTCAGTTTTGATGCTACAGCACCAACTCTTCTCCTTACTATACATATTTGCAAATACTTCATCACACAGGAGATAGGAGTGCCTGGCTGAACCTGAAGATAGCTTGCTGCTGAATGTGATATGTCCCTCTATTGCCTTTAAGGTTGGAGATTCAGAAATAAGCCTTCTATTTTTCATGTTACACATATTAACATTAAATTTTATACTAGAAAATGTTGACCTCTCTTCATGTGAAAATAAGGTTACAGGGCCAGCTCTCCAGCAGCTTTTAAAACTCCTGTAATGTGTGATACCTGAGAGAGAAGTACTATAAGCTCTGTCAGGATTTCCAGGCTACGAATGAAATCTGCATTTTTGCAATTTAAAAAAAGACAGCTTGCACTATGTGCCTGACAGTAATGGCTCCATCCCAGGGCATCTTGGATGTAGTTAAAGACACATTCACAGATCAAATTGGCAATTTCCAGCCCCATGCTTTTTCTGCATTTGTCTGGAACTTTCACTTCCAAAATGAGATTAATTTTGAGATCAGAGATGCAGTGGCAAAGCTGCACGCTTCCTCAGATCTCGCCCTCTGCTTCCCCCAATGGCTCATAAAAGGTGCCAGCTTTTTTTTTTTTTTTTTTTTTTAGGCACTTAGTGCTACACATACTCTGAATGGAGAAATTATCAGACTTTGGAAGGGGATTTTGCTTGTGCAATAAAAATCATAACCAAATTCTCACAGCAGGCTCAACACAATACTGATTGTGTCTCTGAAGGAAGCAAGAATTAAACCTGCCCCTACCCAGTCAGAAGAGATTCTGCAGTGTGATAGATGCTATGGCTCAAACCCCAGCAACACTGGGTGTTATCTAAAGAATATTATCTCCAGCAGGGTCTTCTTTTCCTTAAAATTTATTCATGAACTTTGATTTCATAAGACATATTGCAGTGTTTGCTTTGAGTCACTTTTCAACTGCAGAACAGATTCTTTTTAATAAATTTGCTTGCTGGACTCTTTATAGCATAAGAATACATGACTAGTTAATTAAAAATGTGAATAATCTGGACTATATTTTAAAGTATTTTTCCAGATTCATACATGAAGATTTCAACCAGAGCTTTAATGAAAACTTGTTTCCAATCTACTGTGGGTGAGCACATAATTGTAAAATAAAACAGTGTAAAGTTTCAACCATGACATCTGTCTTAAATGTTACCGGGTACCCAATAAAATCAAGCAAGATAACAGTTCAGCTATCTGAATAAGCAGTGGGCGAAAACACACAGTTCAAGAACACACTTTCAAAGCAAAGTGGTAGAGATTTTTGGAGATGTTTGTCTTTTCTGTTCCCAGAGATTATTATTCAGCCCACACATCCAGCTGACTATTCTCTGGAAACAGAGAGCAACTCAGAGTAACATCCCAACATGTGCAAGACATTTTGTTCATCATGCTCTAGAGGAAACTCTCAAGACGAATAGCGAGCCAGCTATGGGTGGTCTTCAGAACTTGAAGAGGAATGTGTTAGAGTCGCACAGCCCTGGAAAACATACCTATAAGGGTTAACACATGCGTTTACATCTGTACTATAGGTTCAGCATGTGCGTGTGATAGTCACATCCAACCAAGTATGCTGGAGGGCCGTAAGTACAGCATGTTGAAAAAACATAAGCTTTCTTCTCATTTCAAACAACCAGCACACCAATTCAATGTCAATCTGCATTTTTCTCAGGCAAATTGGGAAAGAAGAAATTACAGATATGTTCAGCCAAAGAGCATACTAGCAAAACTTCACCATTGTTTCACCAGTTCTTACTGACTTTAGGTAGCCCAAGGTAAGATATGGAATGTTCTTTGCCATTACAATAGCGATGAGTAAAAAGAAATGGACTGTAAGTGTCAAAAGCTGTAACACAATGTGACCCGCATCTGTCAGCTGTGCTTATTTCCCTTTAAATTGTAATTCTTCATGTCACGTTATTGAACAAATCCAAATCTGGGTATCTAGTGTACTAAAAGGTCATTAAAACATAAAATTATGACAAATGCAGCATGGAGTACATTTCTGCAACTCAAGATAAATCTCTCTGACCTTCACAAGAAAAAAAAAAATCCATTTTTTAAGACTTAAGGTTAAAGAGTTCATGCCAAAGTTATTTCACATATCTGTTTTTGATTGTCGCAGAAGATGCACTTTACATCTGCTCTCCTAAGATCAATACAGCTGACCTTTCAGACTATGAATGCTGTCTAATCAAAGAAGCAGCCTTCTAATTTATTTTTTTTTAAATTTGAACTGCTTTATGTGGATGCTGTCCATAATCTGCGAGGTCACATGTTTATAGTCCTGATGCAGTTGTATGTAAAAAGCCAGCATAATGATAATTTCACAGTGCAGTGTCTGCTGCACTATTAGCAGCCTTCTATAGGATTGAAGAAAACCTGAAACATTTGTGCTAGTGCTGATCACAGATTCCAGAGTAAAAATAACTACCTCAGTCTGGACCATTTAACAAACCACATTTTCCAACTAAAATAACAGTGCCTACATTTGTAAGGTTTTAACACCCATTCTAGGAAGCCTATACAAAATAAACACGAGGTCAGGTAACCTAAGGACAAAGTAAAATTTGTGGGACAAAGATTCCAAAGTAAATAGTGTGACTTGAAAGTGTGAAAAGCGCTTTTTTTATTTCTTGAATGCAGTTAAATTCAGCTTCTCAGCAGAATCCCAGTAAAGTTCAAAACTGACCAGCAGATAACTTTAACACAGGGCAGCTGCAGTCCCGGTGCTAATTAACAGCCTCCGTCACTTTCATGAAACCCCACTGGCTCCTGATTTACGTGCCTGTACCGCAGAGCCTCTGAACCGATTCCTAAAGCCAAAATAAAATATGGTCTGTGCAGCGAACTGAAATCTCCCTGGAGTCACAGAGCAATGCCATGTTTCAGTCAAAGATTTCAGGATTCCTATGTTAATAATGCTACACTGAGGAGCCGGTAACGGAGATGTGCTCGCGCATATGCCACTGTCATTAGATCACCCGTTTGTTTGTATACAGATCTGACTTCCAAGCTTACGCTAATTTTAGCTGGACTCAGATGATCCTGCCAGACTCGCTTTGCTAATTATTGCTCAGCACTCTGCTCCAGCTGACTTACCTTTTTCACTGTCTGTGAATTGCTGCCAGGGAGGAAGCAGTGAGTGTGGCTTGGGGAGACCTCCTTGTATCGTCCTTGCTGTCTTTTAGTCAGTTTGCTGGGCGCAATCCCGTTGACGACTGCTGAAAGGATGCTGCTGCTCATGAGAGGAGTCAGGGTCTGGCAGAACAGACAGACGGCCACCACTAAGGCCAGGAGGAAGGGACGAGGGCGACAAAGCCTGCGGCACCTGGGGACTTGCCCACAAACCATGGCCTCTTTGCCGTCCTCACTTCGCCCTTTGCCACATTGCAGATGCCGTCCAAGTAGCCACGTCTTGCCAGGGTAAGAAAAGTCAAAGGCACGCTTTACCCAATACTAGCAAGAGTTTTCACCACTTCTGCTGCCGAGCGCTTTCCTGGTGCCTGGCAAGAAGTCCCGGGTTCCAGAGGAGCAGAGGCTTGGGAAGCACCCTCCCATGGGGGTACGGCAACAACCTGTGAAGAAACGAGAAGTGAGCAGTGGCAACCAGCAGCCTGCCAAGGGGCGTTCTGCAGGGAGCCGCACCGCGCTCTCGGGAGAACAGACCTGCCAGCAGACAGGTGAGGAGCAGAAGTCCTCACCCTCTTCGCAGAAGGAACTCCTCAGCCAGACAACAGTATCCAAGAAAGCGAGAGGTTAAAGCTTAACACGTCCTGTCCACAGCTGAAAAGAGTAAGAGAATGTACCAGCTTTGTGAACGATCCTTTTGCTGTTTTTTTCTCTCTTGCATTCTCAGTTCCCACTTTGTTTTTACAGTTTCCTTCATTCCAGTCCTTTTAAATTGCCTCCTTCCTGTCAGCATGCACAGCTTTCTCTCTAAAAGTGACCATCTATCTGAAAACTGACAGACTATGAAGATTTTCCTTTGCATTTGTTTTGTCCAGATTGCGAGTTCAAAGTTAGGTTTACTTACTCGGTTCTTATCCTGTTAGAAGTTTTCCGTTCTCCTCTAATGGGCTGCTGATTAAAACCACTTGGAACAACCCTGGCTCATGATCCCAGCTCGTCTCACACACTCAGAAGGCAGGCACACGCACATACACACGCCATCTGAAGCCAGTTGGACCACAGACTTCATATAAATAAAGGCTGGACTGCTCAGAGGGTGGGGCTAAATGAGCTCCGCTCCGAGCAGGCACGGGGTTTGGAGACGTAGCCTGGGATCTGGATGGGGAACAAGAGGTGTCCTTGCTCTCACTGCATGCCTCGAAGCCACCATCACTGCAATTTTTAGAAAACTGCTGTTACAGCAGTCAGCCTAACTGAAACAATATTAATATCTTGCCGGCAGTAGAAATCTGAGCAGCACCTGCAGTATTTTAATCCAGATTAACAAAAATGTTGTAAAAGGAAGCAGATTTACTTGGACGTAAGCGTCACTGGCAAAGCAGTTGTCAGTAATTTTCCATAGTAGATATAATACCTCATAGCAGTGTATAAATAAAACTTCTTACTGATGTCAAAGAGGGAAAGAAGGGAGGGTGGACAAAAATACTCCAATGAAAGCACTTACTATCTAAGCCACAGAAGGTCTTAGTTACTACTTCCCCCTGCTGACACAGGACAGGGACAAGACAGATGGGAACAGTTGAGGAACTCTGTTATCTTTATAGACCTAAACTTCTCATAGAATCAAGTTGTTTTAGCTAAAAATATCTGTATACAAGTCATCTATTTTATCCCCCATCCTTAGCTATTTTTTAAAAGAAAGAGTTCTTCCTACACTGACTCACATATAAGAAACGAGCATTGTTCTGATAACTTTGAGCCAGTCTACACAATTCAACAGCAGCATTAGCAAGTTAAGGCCTATATACAGCAATGAAGAGTAGAGCATATATTTGTTTGAAGCATTGGTGTTTATTCAGCTTTCAAATCCTTTTTTTTCCCATACTAAACCCATCAATTTGTACCTATAGAAAAATGCCATAGAAGTGATTCAACACCTCATGCAGAACCTCAGCTGTCACATGCACTGCATTTTAGTTTTCTGGCTAGGGCTGTAGTTGTCTAAATTAGACTCCTGGGTTATCCTGAGCAGGAAAGGAGTACAAAACTTGCCCATACCCTCCCGTGATAGGTGCTGGCCATCCACACAGAAACTCCCATCTCTGCTCTCTGGAGACATGTTGCTCGTGCTCCCTCCTTCCCAGCACACCGGCTCCCACCCTTGGGCCCTGGTCCAGCCAGTCTGTGCTGCAAACCCTCTGGCAAGCCAACAAATCTGGCTAGCGGACGCTGGAAAACCACGGGTTCCCTGCGGCCGCCCTTGGGGTAGGTCTCTGCCATACAATGGAGAAGGGTACCCAGGGAGCTGGTACATTCAGAGGAGGATTGCAGAGACACTCTAGCCAGCCTGGGAGCCACAGTAACCCCAGCAGCCGAGGAGAGCATAGCAGAGTTGCTTTATTGTTTTAAGGGATTGTCCTGTGGTTTTTGGCATGCCCTGATTTCTGGGCCCACAACCACCAGCTGTGTGGGTGGTATTTGCATGGTTGCCAACTTCTCCCAAATTCTTAGTGAGGGGATTTTAGTCAGAGCTTTACGTGCTATTGCTAGAAGACTTGATTAAAACCAGTTTATAAAGATTTGTATTAATGGTTGCTTCACAATGTGGAGATCATATCCCCTTGCTAGAGTCTGACACTAGAACAAAGTAATCATTTCTGTCCTCACCCACTGCTCCCTCAGTTACCTCCAGCACAGCAAGGAACCGTGCTCTCCCTCCAGCCCGACATCATTTTCCAGCTCAGAAGTGGGGTCTTTGTCCTTACATTTTCCCCAATGTCTCAGAGCCAATTCCTCCTTCCCGCAGCCCCAAGGTCACTCATAGGCCTCAAGTCTTAAGGACAAGCTGACAACATTTACTCATTTACTGTACCAAGGCTGATAACGGCAAAACCAGAGATGAAGAGTATCAACAGAGGGCAGGCAAATCACTGCCTCCTGTACGCTCCTTGGGATCAGCCTGCTGTTCATCTGCTTTTCCCAGATGTTCCAAGGAGTGAGCTGGCTTTTTCCTTATGTTTTGTGGTTTCTTTTCATGACAATAGCATGTAATGCACATTTCTTAAGCTGTAAATACTTTTCTCAGTCACAGTTAGAGTGCAATGAACATGATTCCTGTCATCTTATGAATCAGGATTCCACCACATCTCTGGGCTCACATGCCTACTGACTTATCTGGTCACATTCTGACACTTCAGAAAATAAGCCAGGACTATTCCAAATTGGGACTAATTCCCCTTGTGTTAACTAGTCATTTAGGAAAAGGATATAAGCGGATAAAGAGTCAGGCCTCCTGGGTTCTGAACTCACAAGAAAGATTCTTCAGTGCATAATATTCAAATAACTGCAGAACACAATTATCTGTAAGATTAGAAATATCCAGCTAAGTATTTATTCTCACAGGTATATGTACATATTTCAGAATTCTTAGCAGAAATCTGCAAATCTCCTCTTTCTGCCATACAAAACAATTTTAGTATTCATTTCCTATTCGGGATTCCCAGACCTGTTCCTTCCAGTGGCTGCTCCCACTGCATGGATTAAGGGCTCTCTAGCCTGTTTACCTCTCCCTACTCCTCCCACTCACTCAGGACTGCTTGCTTGGATGCTCCCTACAGCAGCCAGCTGCTGCCCTGGTCTGCGAGAGGCAAGGTCCTGCAGGGACCGCTTCTGCCAAAACCAACCAGCCATGTGCGTCAAGCGTGATCTCCAGTGCTTGCAGCCAGAATCCCAGTTCCATCTGCATCATCTGGAATAGACTGTAAGTGTTTAAAGATACCCTGACACAGAAAAGGTGAGAGGAAAGTCAGAGGACTTGCTAATAATTGCCAGGGACTAGGATTTGAAAGGATTTAGCCAATATGCCATGCAGGCATGTAACGTGCACCATTAATCATCTCACTGGAGTATTAAGCAATCCAGCTCATATTCACACAGCTTCCATTTTGCACAAGTCTCTGTGTTTGTTCAGTGGTGAAAGCTAGTGACCACTGAAGAATGATTTCCATGGTCTAAGTAGTAACCTGGACAGATATTTGCAAGGAGCCAACCAAGAAGAAAATATCAGACACGGAAAGCTAGCAGGAATTTAAGGCTAGCTGAATAGATCCATTTTATGCATGCTTAACTTCACTCAGAGATCTAACATGAATCATTCTGCAACTCTGAATAAAGTTAAGTCCAGATACAAGTGCTTGTAAGATCAGGACTTGATATAATAAAAACCATTTTGCATCAATAATTTCACTATATCGAGGCTGCCAAGAAGAAAATATGTTTAAAAAACTATTCACAACTGCTCTTTTCTACAGCAAGTTTCAAATTACAAAGTATAGCGTCCTAGCAACCATTTGAGTGATAAATGAGCTTACATGAAAAATAAGCCCAAACAGATCATTTCTAAATGAACTGATAGTCAAGTCCTTGTAATCATGTCTGTCATCTTCACAGTACAAACCTATATGCAATTTTCATTGTTTATAGCCAACGCCTTAATTTCTTTTTTATTTTGTAGCACACTAAAAACTATGCCAAGGGCCATAAATTCTCACTAACTTCAATACTGGATAAAAGCTTTATGAACAATAGGCATTAATAGCACTGTAAATATTCAAGCAAAACATCTAGCTAAACTGTGCTGGAGAAAGCCTGCTCAGCCGCACCCTCCACGATTTTTTACTTCACCCTGAATTCAATCCAGATTGCAGTTAGATTTGCAGTGTCTTCAGTCCCGTGTGTGGTCCCATTATAAGTAGTGAATGGTGAAGACTGGCACACAGTGAAGAAAATAGGAGAAATACATTTCATTACTGCTCTGCACATTGGAAGATTTGGTACTACTGAAGTTTAAATTAATCCCAGCATAGTAAAAACCCAGACTCTCTCCCCTTTTCCCATTCATAGAACATTGTAAGCCTTAATGATATTGTGATTTTATTCCACAGAGCACTCCAGAGAACAAAGATTCACGTCTTAATCCCACTTTGGCTCAGCTCTCTGATCTTGGCTCGCAGTGAAGGCAGGCTAGCAGAAAAGATTCTGCAAATCCTTGGAAAGCAAAACAGTTGATGTTAAGAGGAGAAGAGTTTTAGGGGAGACTCCCCTTTTAGTTTTGCTTCTCATTATTGTTTGATTTATTTAATATTTTGTCTTTATGTAAGAGGCAATAAATGATCTGGACTATACAAGCAGTGTGTTTACTTCTCTTAGCATAGGATTTACAGTCCATATATATGTATAGTCGATATATAGTCCATTTTAGATCCTTAATCTGTAAATTCTACCCATGTGTTAAGAGCTGTGATTGCTGGATGTTTTGCCTGAAGAAAGATGCTGTTAGGCCTGCAGTTCTGTGGGCAGATTGGCTAGTCTAGTAATTCCCATTTCCAGCAATGGAAAGAGGAAGGTCTTGTTTGATTCCCTCTCCCCTGCCTTTAGCGTCTCCTCCTTACCTCTGCTCCTGCTCTTTCCCTTCCTCTCTTCCTACCTTGTGGTGGTGCTCATTACATCTTTTTATGTGAAAAAACCTGCGCAGCTGGGTTGGTTTTCTGCCAAGTGAGTCAGTTAAATCAACTCTTGGAGAGATCCAATGGGCCTTAGTGCTGGTACAAGTTAAACAGCGGGAGAACACGAGTGAACGAGATGTAAACAGAGGAAGGGAATGGGACCTTTTAGGTAGTGGCAAAGCTTGATACTCAGCTCACCAGATTACTGAACTTACCCCAGCTTCCCTAAAGTTTTAGATGGGATCTGGGCCAACTGAGTTATTTGTCCAGAGGCACTTCTTTGTATCTCAGCTGTGTTCTTCACTACTATCTTTTGGCAGAAGGGTGACAATGAAACACAGGTATCTTTTTATTTATATATGTTAATACTACAGAAAGTTGCTTGACATGAGGGTAAGGGAAAGCAGCTGAAGACCAAAGTCTTGTGAAAATATTGGGCCCTGCTTAAAAAGCAAATTTGCATATCAGGAGGAAGAAATAGATCAGCAAATTCTTTGCTTCTTCCTATCTACAGTTACTCACTGACTCTTGACAGAATCCTCTTTCAGCAGTTATTCTGAGATTACACACAGATTTATGGACTCTGTAGCCAGTCTGGTTGCTCAAACTCATTGGTTACTGCTGAAAGCTGAATAAGAATCGGTGATAATCAAAAAATGCCCAGATAGGCTGCAAGAACATGGACGTTTATCTTCGGGTACACAGAACAGGAACAAAGTGAAATATCTCATGACCTCTGACAGCATTTGTGTTCCTTTTTATTTTAAGTAAATATTTTATTTTGTCATAGTCCACATCTCTTCTCTGGCATGTTGCTGGTCCCCCTCTTCTTCACACCTCAGGTGAGAACATTTGAACTTCCATTCTCAGGTCTTCCTCTTTCCTCCTACAGACTTTTTCTAATAACAGCCCTGTCTTCTCTAACAATCATTCTATTCTTTTAACACAGTGAATAATCTCTTCTTTTAGGTGATCTAGATCCTTCTTATTGTATTTTTTTCAGTTACATTCTCTGGGCTACTTATATGAAAGGTATTTGCACAAATACTTTTCTACTTTCTCACGCACTTCTGCTGCAAGCGGAGCTGTTCCCTGCCTTGTACCTGCAGAAGGGCTCTGAATGCACTTTACGTGCTGCACAGTAGTATTTTCCTTGCAGTTCAAATTCAGGTGAAAGTGTTCTGAAATGACCAATAGGAGTGGGGAGAAACTGAGAATACCGGCGTCATCGACTCCATCCTAGCCACTCCGTACCTGCTCAGATGATGTTTGCAATGGAGCCTCTCCGTATCGCTCACCAACTGTTCCAGGGACCGGGACGTCCTCCCCGCGCCAGGCCCTTCCCCTCCACCCCCAGCACCAGGTCAGAAAAGCTTCCACGAGAAGGAGACAGGGTGCAGAGGGATAGCAAGTGGTAAGCATACCAGTTTTGAGGCTACCGCAAAGAGGAAGGAGCGATCGCTCAGCCAGGCCTCCAGGGTGACGGCAGGATGTATCCTAAATAGCTTCCTATAACAGCGGGAACGTGTGACGCTTGCGAGCCAGTCACGGAGCTGCTGGAACGAGAGCAACAAATGCGAAGGAAAGGACCAGTCTGTAGGGGCATTTAGCAGGGGGAAGAGAGGGATTTACAAACCCTTTTATTTCTAACGTTTAGCATTTTGCATTTCCTCTGGTTTTTTTTGTTTTGGTTTTGGGTTTTTTTTAAAGTTAATTGTTCTAGTTTCTGTTCCAGTAAACCCCAAATGTAGAATTGAAATGTCATAGTCCTCCAGGTCCTGTCACAAGGTCTTTCCTCTTCTTTTGTGTAAAATGAATTATTTCATTGCCATGTTCCCTTTTCGCTTTAGCCTGGCCTCATCACGTAGGTAGCCAAGACTAGTGGAGTGCTTACTTTTTTCTCCTGTTCTACACCATAAGTGGACCCAAAACAGTCCAAAAAATGAGAAAAGCCAATGTAACCAGAAAATTCATGACAGTCATCCCCAAGCACCATTTTTTATACAGTTGCCCTCAAGTTCAGAAGCAAGATCTGTTTCAAATAAACCAACTTTTAGAAGCTGAAGGAGAAAAATACAACTAGACTCCTCATTCCATAAACACTCATTTTCCACTTCACCCCCTAAATTCCTTAAACTGTATTTTCTTCTATCCCATTACCTTTGGCTGCCTTTCTTCCTCTTCACCGCTTTTATGATCAGGAACATCCTCTTTCTTTAGCAGAGTGGTTGCTTTGCTGAGACTACTCACAGACCTTTGAATGACTATCCCAGTGTCTCCTAGGTTCAGCAGTCCCCAGATGCTCTTTGGCAGCAGGGAAACAAATGGAAGTCTCCTACAAACAAGAAAATATTGTCACGTCTCTTGTATGCACATGAAACAAGGGTGCAATGCTCTCGGGTACCTACAGCTGCCTCTGTGTTGTCCTCTAGATGATTAGTCTGTGCTGCTGCAGATCATGTGCCTGCCACAACTGGCAAACAAGCTCTTTAATTTCGGACCAAGTTTTCCAGGTGCCAATCATTTCAGACATTTGGGACATTAAATTTGGTTACTCCCAGCACAGTAAATATCGTACAACTTAAACCACATTATGGCCTCCACTGACTTCAGTGGATGAGTTCATACATGTGGGTGTTTTAGGCACAACGGAACAAGAACTTGATTATCTTTTCCTATCGAAAGGCTTTGCACTGATGCGTATTTGTTTGACAGAGCTCCTTGGTTAGCAAGGAGACTTTTAAGACAAGCACGTCGCACAGAAATGTAGATGAAATGCTCACCTGTGCCTCTCAAGGCACCCATACATTTAACCAGTCCCATCAAGAGCAGCCATTATTATATATACTAGAGCATATAACAGTTTATTCCAGTTTGTTGCATTCTCATGGTGCTGCCAGAATATACAATAAGCCAGCACAGAAATGAGTGACCTGGGGCACTTCACATATTGTGCACGTATATGAGAAATTGTTGTACAGGCAAATAGAATATGTGGAGATGCAAGACATGCTATTTTGTTGTTCTTATGGACAAGCAGAAAAAGATAACGGTACACTTCTGAACTTATCGATCTGATTATAACTATACAGTTTCTCTCATGAGTCCAGCTGCCGCGGCATGATTGCTGCAGAACAAGATAACAGCAAGCACTGTGGCACAGAAGTTACTTTAGAAATACCCTTAAGTACATTACATCTTTTAAGCTCTGACTTTTGACAATGTACTCCACACGGTATTTCTAACAGTAAAGTTGAAAATTAAGTTTAACCGTTTTTACAGCTAGCAAAAGCAAGGTGCCCGGAATAACTACAGTGGAGGAGGCCACACAGAAGGTCCCCACTGCAGCTGGCGTGAGGGCTGACGAGTTCTTTGTGTCCTGCCCCACGCAGGGTCACCACGCGGCCTCTCAGCTCCGGTCTGTTGGACGGCACAGCTTGCTCAAAACACGCCTGACGGCTGTTGCGGGGCGCTGGCAGGAAGGGGCACGGAAGCTGAAACTGAGGGAGGGACGCCACGCGGAACCGCCGCGGTACGGCCGGGAGGAAGCTGAACGTCCTCCTGTCAGTGCGCGATCTTAACCGCTTTGATTAAACGGGTTGTGTGAAACTGGCAGCCCAGGCAAGGGTCTGTTGAAAAAGGAAGGTTTAAGGAAGACGTTTCTCAGATCGGAGAGATCTAAAATGTTTTGCTGTAATTTTCTACACTTCACACCTAATTAAAGTGGTCCAGAGGGGCTGAAAAGTGAATAGGAACATTTTTGTTCGCTGTCTGATTACTGGGTTGTTGGGGTTTGTCCCTTTTGTGGGTTGTTTTCTTACATTTTTTAATTATGGAGGTATGTTCTATGACTAGAGGCAGATGTATATGTTCTTAGGATTTGATTCTGCAAAAATTAAAATATAACCAAAATATAACAAAATCAGAATCCATCTAAAATACAGTATGAAGTGCCTGAATAAGCTCCTATTAAAATTTTTAAATCAATCACTTTTTCCATATAACTATGTTTTGATGCACTTTTAAAACCAAAGCATATTGAAGAGACTATTTGTCTTGGAAAATAATGTAAAACCAGGTAGTGCCAACACAAAGAATTAATAAAATGTATATAGGGCCGATAGCTAATTTGCTTGTTTTAAAACAGACTTTAGAAGGAGAATTACAGAGAATATTTGGGGTTGATTTAAAATCATGCCATCATTAGCCAAATATGAAATCAGGTTAGAGTTTTATCATGTGCTGATGTAATTACAAACAATATATTTAGATGATTCCTTCCTCCATGAGTTTAAAAATTACTGCTTAAGATTCAAACAATAACAAAAAGGGAAACTTCAGGATTTTTCTATTAAAAGGCTTGTCAGCCTCCATAGAGAGACATTCCCAGTACATTCCTTTCACCCTCTTAACAGAAGTCTTTAAGTAAATAGGGGTAGGTGAGTGTTTAGAAAGCACTTTCAAAATGAAAAATGCTTTAGAGTTGGTAAATCTTGAACATTAATGGAGATACTAACCAAAACACCTTAAAGTTGGATTTTTTTTCTCTTCTTTGTTTTTGAGAATCATCTTTAGTTTTCCTATCCTGGGCTAAAACTTCACTGAGATGTTTTCCCAGTGCATATTTTAGATTGTATTTATGTCTTACAAGAGCAACCAACAGTGTTATAGAAGAGGTGGGCAGAACAGTTCTGATGTAAGTGACTCTTTCAAAGGTAATCATTACTTCTGAAATCAGCATTTCTGTGTGCAAAAGCATGCTTTAAGTCAGTGTCTAAGAAAATTTCTACCCTGGATTAAAATGATTAACAAATAATTTTACTTTTTGAGGGTAATTTTAAAATAACTCCTAGCTTAACTTCTGTTTATTCCTCAGTTCCTTAGCCATTCCAAGTATATTAGGGCATCAGGAAGATCCCTGGGAAATGTACGGTATACCTTCCTAAATTAAAGGGGTTGGTCAATACTACCGACTGTAGAACCATTTCATTTTCCAGACCTGACTAAGGAACATGTTTTTATTGTCAGTTCATTCAACTATTGACTAATCCATCCATCTATAGAATATGCTTTCTTTAAAAGCCTGAGATTAATTTAGCCCCAAACAACACAACAGAGAAATTAAACACATTTTAAAATAATTTAAGTCAAGAATACCATATCCAGATGAATTCGTCACAGCAGAAAGACTCCAACTTGTCACCTTTTCAAGCAAACTACGTAACTGAACATTTATTAAAACATTTTTTAAATATGATGAGCTTTTATTTTTGCCTCCACACAGTAACAATGTAATTTTAGTCTCATGAAAATAAAACAGAGCTGTAAAAAACATTTCCTTTATCAACACAGGGAAAAATATTCCTGTACTTCTGACAAGAAAGGATTCCCTATTTCCATAGCACTTACCTGACTGACCCCTTCCAGCACTTAACTATACTCATGCTTGCAAACTTCATCCAAACATCTATCCCACGTCTTTTTCTGAAAAGAAATAGTAAAAGCTGCTTTGAAATCAGAAGGCCACAATTCTGCAGGTGGAAGGAATGCAAAATTATCTTTGCATTGCTCCCCTATTTCTGTTTCACCAATTCTCATGTGCACAAATACAGTGTAACTATTATTTATTCTTCTAGAAAGAAAGGCTTAGTATAACCCTATTAAGAAAACCAACTGTCAACCTAATAAATAAATCTGTGTTCAGCAACAAAAGTATACTTAGGATTCCCCCAAATTTTTATATTTTTATGAAAAATACAGAAATTGTAGCTGAACAACTGCATCTACTTTATTTGGTTTAAGAACCCCCTCACTGTACTCTTAAACTTCAGTAAAACTTCCTTAATCGGCAGTAGCCAGTTTCATAAATGTGGGCATACACATTCGATTCAATGTATATGGCACTGCTGAATAAATATTCAGAAAGGAACAGAGAAGTCACAACACTCAGAAGTTTTCATAATATAAAGTACAAGGTACAAATAAGTATTAGAGCTTTAAAAATGTTAAAACAGCTGTGTATCCTAACATTGTTCATCATTTTCTACTGCATTACGTAGATTTCTTGTACAGTCATGAGGCAAGTATTTCTCTACTCTAGTTGTAATATGCTAGGGGTTTTTTTCAGGAATTATTTTTTTTTTCAGTAGACAAAGGGAATACAGTTAGCAAACAGTTAAAGTCATGTTTGTAATAAAGACTTTAAATCTATTATGAACTAATGTAGGAAACTATCGTTTTTTCTAAAATACAAGACGTGACGTATGCAAGCACAAGTCTGTAAGTAAGCATGCAACTAGCTCCTAAATACAAGATTTATCTAGAGGAAAAAGCTGCTGTTCGTCTCTATAGAAAATCATATGAGTATAAAAGCAAGATATGGATTTGAAAGTGCTAGAGGAATATTACTGTAGATTTGATAAATATACTGAAATGTGGGATTCTTCTTCTCTTAGTTATGTTATTCTCAGAGCGTTTTAGGCAATCCTGGGAAGAGTAGCAAAACTGCAGAGACTGTGTTCATATAGCGTGGCCTGACTTTAGTTATTCCTGTATACCCCTAAGAGAATGTAAATGGTCAGACCCTTGTCCCTTTTGCAATTCTGCTTCTCAGAGATTTTTAGTGTAAGTGCAAAACCGAACCCTCCGCTGTCAAGGGGAAAGCCACCTGGGTCCTCCTTCTGTCACTTGTCACGTCTATTGAACAAGAAAGTGCACGGTCCAGACATTCCAGCAGGATGAGGTGGGAGATGAAAAAACTTGCCAAGAAAAGCCAGCTTGCAGTGGAAAGTCCTCCCTGGTGAGGGGGAACAGAAAGGGGAAAACAAACCTCAGAATTTCTAATCTTTACTGTGCGCGGTTGATCAGTAAAGAAGACAAGAATGCAAATTACTCTGTGCTATTCAGAGATACAACCTAGATGTGTTTTCAGAGCGGGAAGCAGAGATGTATTTCCTCTTTCTTCTTCATTTCAGACCTAGAATAAATGAAACCTAAAGCTGAGGAAAAAAAGGTTACTTCTTCACAATGCAGACAGACAACACAGTTTACAAGGCATAGACCACTTTTTATTCTATTACAGTGCTTAGCACATGGGTTCTCAGCTTGTGGTACTACAAATACCTCCTCATCCTAAAAATTCACCCAAATGCTGGAGCACTGAGATGAAACTAAAAGCAGCTGCACTGCATAATGCCGAAGGGTCGGTCACCTAACCTAGTGTCTTGTATCAAACGGTGTTCAGTGGTGTATGCCAGCGGGCTGTGGGACCATCACAGGCATCCAGGAACACTTCCCTGGCTACAAACTCTTAATTTCTAGTCATTAGTCTTCAGTGAGTTTTTGATCCAGATGTGTTACTTCTGCATTTTATGCCTCCATGGACTTTGCTTCCATTAGTTTCTCAGTCGCTTTTTACATCCAAGTAAGCTATATGGCCAGTTTTACAGTTTAAGCATGCCATGGATGAAAAAAAGCTGCTCTTTTTTTTCATTTTGGACTGGCTACCTCCCTACTACTTCTTCTATCAAAAGCCACACCTCTTCCACAGCACTCCTGAGTTTACAGATCCCCGTTACATTCTCACTGAGCCACCTCTTTCCCAGCCAGAAGAGTCCCAGACAATTTAGCTGCTTCTCAGATGTGTTGTCATCACACTGCTTTGACTACTTTGATCCTCCTGTTGAAGCCTTCCCTAGTTTTGCTACCTTTTTGCAGCAGAGCCAACCAGAATTTTACACTACGTTGAGACCTAACTGCACCATCAGTTTACACAGTGTAAAACTGTATTCTGTTTTATTCCTTCTCTCCTACTGAGTCATTCTTAGCACTTGTCCTACCTGCTGCTGAGCAATGAGCTGGTGTTTCCATAGAATTACCTAGATAACTCCCCAAATCACTTTCCTACAGAGCAATAGCTACTTCAGAGGCCCCAGCTGCAGGTAAATTGAGAATTAAGTATTATTTTATATATTATTTTATATTTACATTCTTTTAGCAAATGTTGAATTACATCTTCCATTTTACCAGACACTCAGTATCATGAGATTTTTCTGCTACTTTTAACACTTCCCATTTTTGTTACTTTTGAGAACCCAACCTAAGTGCAAACACTACGTTACTATTTACCCCTCTTAACTGATCTGTTAATGTCTGTAGAGCACCAGAGTCCTGCTTTAGTAGCCTCTTCTTGTTGGGAATATTGGCAATTTATTCCTTTACTCTTATTCTATTTTGCGAATAGCCATATAACATTACGGGACCTGCACTCCAACCAGCGCATCACTGTTTTTTAAAGAAACTTTAATGAGACACCCTGTCTGAATGCCTTGATGTAGCCTGCATCAACCTGGCCTTGTCTATCTCAGTGAAGCTTCCAAGAACTCCAATGACCATGAGGCAAGGGCTCTGCCAACGTGTAACTACTCACGTTACTCAGGGCTTTTACACTATAATCACCTGCTGACCCGTAAGCTTCTCTCACAGGCGTTCTGTTTAGAAGAAAACAAAACAAAAGCACATACAGGGTTTATTGTTCTACATCTTTGACTTATATAATGCATTTTTTCCACACTTTTCACATTTGTCCATTTCTATTTTCTGAACTTTGACACAAAATACTAATGTACTAACAAGGACAAAGGTTAAGTTTTTTCCTCTTGTGAGTTCTCTAACTAGCTCCCTCCATGAAAAAAAAAATTATATCATCCAATGAAACAGCAAACCAATGCTCACACTAAAAATCGGAATTTTTATTTGAATTTGCAGTCTCTGCACCATCTTAGGTATGGTTCCCACCAGAATGAGGGATTTCGCTATATATAGTGTTAATTCTCAATGGACTTGCTTCTTAGCTCTAAGGACTTCGGCATTCAGTCCAAGGGGAGTCCAGATTACCTGTTGTTTATTTAACTTAAATTCATAGCATGGCACCAGTTTCCAACAGAACAAATTGTTTGTTATCTCTATTGTCTCCACAGCCTCCCTTAAAACCAGATATTCTAGTCCTCAAATGTTTAGACTGAGGTTTCCACAGAAATACATAGGCAGTGGGCTCAGTTCCAGTTTTAATGGAACCTTAGTTACACTGCTTTTCACTGTTTATTTTTGCCAACTTCTACCCTATTCTTCTACCAAAGTCCATTTATCATCCATAATCACATTTCCCTTCTTAAACATCTACTTTTCCCCAGTTCATGGATTTAAAATGCCTACTTTTTTCATTTTTAAACAAATGTTGTGACAGAAGTCTGGTTTCATTTTGGTTTAGGTAAAGCCTGCATTTTCTGCACATACTCCTATTACTAATGAGCCTAACTCTTTTTGTTTCCTTGACACTATTTGCACAGTCACGCACTGAAACACTGCTTCTTTCCTTCTCTTCTCTCCCTCAGCATGGCTTCAGAAAGCTACCACATGAAGGCCATGATCCTCCACCCTGACAGCCCAAAGAGCAACCCAGTGCTAAAGTAAAATCTTTATTCCAACAGGAAAGTGTATTTTTTTTAGTAGTGGAAGGAAGGAGGAAGGAGAAAAAAGAATAATCTTGTTTCTGTTCAGTGCTGCTGCATGAACGAGCCATACAAAAACAACAAAAGGAAATTGTCAGTGAAAGGAAATCTACAAACTATGTCCAAAATAAGCAAGTCAGGGCAAAAATACAGAAAATCTTTCCATTATATTCTTGTCAAGGGTCTAATGTAAAGATCAGTTTTCTGATCCTGTACTACAACATGTACAACTCACAGATCCAGCCACTTATATGCCTGCATTTAGGCTTCCTAACATGATCCTCCCTGTTGCTCTAGGGATTCTACAAGCAGGATGAACTATTTCTCTCTTTCTTCTTTCCTGAACCGTGTATTGGTTTTCACATGAAAACCACTGTTCAGGAATATGGCAGCTACAAGACACACTCACGGTGGTTTTCTTCTCCCCTTCCTATTTCCATCTGTGCCATGGAAATAGGAAGGCAACCCTGCCTGTGGATATCTCTTGACACAGTAGGGATTTCTTTTTTTTAACCACATGGAAAACAGACCTTTTGTGCTCATTTAAGCAGGTGCCACTGATCGCCTGGAGGCAGAGGCATTGAGGCAAATGGTAGTTCAGTGTTTGCCTAGATATGTACAAGTTACCCACCCACCGGAGAAACATCCTGTGCAACAATCCTTCAGGTGGGTCACATGTAACAATTTCTTATGCAAACTTGGCTATATTCTCCTGAAACCATTTTTCAGGGACAAACCTTTTTTTGACAAATGTACAGAAAACATTAATTTGAGGAGCTGAGGTTGTTTTATTTTAACACCTAATACAATTCAAATTTAAAGGATTACTTGCACAAAAAAATAAACACATTTGGTATAAAAATTTATCATCACTTTAACACCTTTTTTTCCTCTTATGGCCTGCACCTTCTCTGGAGCAGAAACATATAAAGACTAATGGCACAAGTTTGTTTTATTCTACAGCTTTTTTTTTTTTTGCTTTTACATACTCAAGTACCCTAGAGGACAACAGCCCGCTGTATACAAGAACCATTTTCTTCAGCCTGCTGAATTAAGTTTCATAAAGAACCAAAGCTATAAAGGCATTTTAAAAACCATTGTCTCTTTTTTTTCCCGAAGCACTGACTTTTTGCACCATTTATATACATAGTGTTACATAACAGCTCTTGAGTACAGTACATGCAGCAGAATATATCTGTTGAATATAAAACATACATTTAAAATCTTGACTTATCGGAATTTTTTGAAGATTGAATAATTGTAGAATGCCCACTGCTTAGAGAAAATGGTTTGATAGTACAAATGTCTGCATATGTTGGCCACTGGAACAGTCCAAGGCTCACTGGAATAGTATCTGTAGCACATCAATGTGCATAAATAATTTACTTACAATAATAAAACACAACTAGCAAAATCAATAGTTCAAGATCTTATGACTGCTATGTTAACCCTTAAGTGGTTGCAAGGAAGTGTGGTGGGGGTTCCTCCCCCTCCCAAGTCCTCTACAAAACCTTTAGTATGTAATTGGTTTTCCAGCTGAAGAAACTTATTTATGTCTACTGCCTCTTCTCTTCATTGCAGCTGTACACTGTGGACAGTACCATTTCCCTTTTGGTGCTTCTGTCAGTCCAACACATCCATAGTGGAACCACTCAATAGGGCACTATAAAAAACAGAGTTAAAGAGAGGGTTTGGGATTTGGGTTTTTTTCAAAACACCTATCACAAATACAATTCTATGAAAATTAAGCACGAGTAAAAAGCATAGATTCTGCATTTCACACAAAGTCACAGGACAAAAGGAGGAGGATCTCAGTCCTTAATATATATTCAATAGACTAAGGAAAGCAACAAAATTCTAGGGAGTCATATATGGACTCGCATAACAGAGCAAAAGAAGTATGTTGTGCTTCGAAATACTTGGTTTGACAACACTAAGTGACACAACAGTAATTTTATCACTCACTTCTGTTTAAATATAGCATCTCAGTAAATACACGATTACATTCAACTGTTCTTTTAAAACCTTTTATTTTAAGGGGACAACTGATATTAGTAGCAACACAGCTAAAGGTTCCCAGAAATAAAGGGCATTTTAAAGATGTCAAACATTCCCAGAAAAGGGGGAAGCCTTCTAAAAGAACCTGAACTGTGGGGACAGGTGAAGAGAAGTTTCCTGAAGAATGATTCAACTCACACGCACATTACGCTAAAAAAACCCTCTCTCTAAAACCAACTCTAAACAAAAGTAACTCCTGCAAGCAACAGTTACATGCACATGCCTCTCATGAACCTTTTGAATTTTGTTACTTACATCTTGGTTATCACAGCCTACCATTTCACCATATGACACCTAGTAAATAAGAAAAAAAAACTTATTATATATTACTATTTAAAAGCAATCAGCATTTTCAAGGGGCCAAAGTTCAACCTTCTTCCTTTGAGGAGTTCTTCCATTAACAGCAGCAACAATATCTTGATTTTTCTTTTTGTTACACAACCCAAAGAACATCATGTTCATAGCAAACTGATTTTCAAAAATTTTTTATGCAAAAAAAAGATACTTCTGCATATTTCAGGTTGGATTAAAAAGGTCAGCATTCAAAACCTGAACAAATCACATTTTGGTCTAAACAACAGTGCTCAGTACATTATCAGCCCAGTTTTCAAGATTATATTTATGACTGGCATCTTCCTTGCACACATGACAATTTCAAGCACTTTATTTGAAACAATCAAACACTTTCAAGAGAATTACAGAATTCTATAAACTCTAAAAAAAAGCTGACACTCTTAAAAGTGTTTAAAATAAGAACAGGCATTTTTAAATAAATGTTTCTCATGTTGTCATTCACTCTCTCAAGATTCCCAACAGCCTTCATAAAACTAGTTTTCTGTTTGGTTGCTGGGGGGTTTTTTTGTTTGTTTGTGGGGGTTTTTGGGTTTTGGGGTGGGTTTTTTTTTCCAAGGAAAGTAGAAGAGACCAGGCAAATTCCTTACTAACTTAAAATTTTAACTAAATTCACTGTGAACCTGTTCAATTTCTAATTTAATTATTCCTGAAGTCTTCACTAAAAGATTTAAAACTCTCCAGGTATGTCACATCACTGGAAAATGTGCTTGTTTTCAGCTTCAACAGCTGAGTTCATTATTAGTATCACCAGTAAGTAAATAAAAAGAGATCAGAATTTCAAGACTGCAAATAGAATGTTTTTAAATTAGCAATCAGAGAAGGAATTTCAACTACAGCAAAATAGCAGGTGTAGTTGTATTTCAGGTTGGAAGCCATCCTTACCTGATTACAAATGCAGTAACGTGGCTCATTTGGATCATAGGTCCAGTCAACCTGGCTATTAGAATCAGACTCTGGTATTACTGCTGTTTGCTGAGACAGTTCTTGTGCCAGTGCAGATGAAGAAGAACATGATGATAGAGAGGAAGACGAGGAAGATGATGAGGACTGCTGACTTGAGGATTTGTTGTTGTTTCTGGGTGGGAGGGAAGAAAAAAATAGCATGCATAATTTAAATTCATTTCCTGCCAAGTGAAAGAATCACTGAACAAGTACTTTGTTGGCTCTGAAATACTGCAGTATGTAAATACCAAAGCATCATTCTCTAACAGATTTCATTCAACAATCGCAAGAACTGAAATGGACACACCGAATGCTCTTCGGAGAAGGAAACAAGTCATACCACCTTACATGTACAAGACACTATTCCAATCAATGGAATTTAACAGCTTTAAAGTGCCAAGTGGCTTTAATGAATGTTTTCCTTCACAAAATTTTCCATCAACAGCCCTGGCGTCAAGTTCCCATAAAAATTATGTTACCAATAAAACAGGAATTTACATATAAATAATATCATATGTCATGTTCAATAGATTACTGTTTTGAAGATGACTGATTCTATGTTAATCTCCACTCAAGCATCACCAATCACTCCATAGGAACAGTGCCAGAATACAAATTCTATGCTTTTGCTTATAGGTCAGATCTGACACCCAAGATATCCATAAATGAAAAATGCTTCTAAGACAAAATTATTAACTGAGCTGTGAATACACACAAATTTGTATGAAGAAAAAAACTCAAGTCAGTTTAAAAGGATGAGCGTTTTGAGACAAACTCTTTCAAGTACAACCTGTGACTGTTGTCACAATGTGTTGTGACACTGTGTTGTTTAAAATGTTTTTAAACTTCATTTTAATCAGAAATAAAATTCATTCTGTTTCCTGCCCTAGACAGGCAGCCATCGGAAAGCATTGTGATTATTTGTGAAGTGGCATGAAGCAGATCTCCAGATTATTTTAAAACCATCTACAAACCATTGCATGGTAATTCCCAACATTTTCCGTTAGGCCAAATCTTCTCTCCAAAACACAGAAAAATGAGGGAAGAAACTAGACTATATCACAGATGGAAAAGCAAATCAGGACATTTAGTTAAAACTTTGGAATGAGTTTGCTTAAAAGTGAGAGGGCAAAAGAAGAAAGCCCTGAACAAAAAAAGGCCAGCAGGCAGTAACTACCTTCTGCTGATCGCTCCCCGATATTAAATATGAAGTATTTCTAATATGGCCCATGACCTTTAAAAGAAAGCTTAGCTGTCTTGAAAGCTATAATTGTGGTCAACAAGTAAGAAAACCTACTTGCTTTTTCTGCCACTTCGTGAATCTGTGGTTGATGAACTTAATGTCTGTGTTAATGTAGATGCCAGAGCTGATGATGAATATCCAGTTGAATCTCTGGATAAAGAAAATTCTCTTCCAAGCTGAAAATCATTGTTCTTAAACGCTTCATAGCTGGCTTTTAGACTGGATGTTCGTCTTCCTTCCTTCATCTAAAAGGAATACTGACATTGTATCAGATTACACAGTAGAGCTCTTACAGAAGACATACTAGGCTGCTAACTGCTAATTATTTGCACATACATTTGCACAGGTCCATTAGTTACCCTGTATAACAAAATGATGTATAGCAAGATGTAAAAAGGTGTAAAAATATCCCACAAGAAAAGCTAGAAAACAAGCTGTCCCTTTATGCAAGTTTTACAGGATGAAACTAGCATATAAACAAAAATGATATTATGAGAACTGAATCACATCAGCTGAAAGTGATCATGGGAATTCAGAAAAAATAAAAAATCATTAGTCTTTCTTCTTAATCAATAGTGGATGGCAGAATGACAAGAACATTTTGACATTACCTGCGCCGTGGCTTGCACTGCTTGAGCTGCTGCCATGGTAATTGCACCGGCCCCGGATCCTGAAGATAATGAGCCCAGGTTATATGATGCCAATGGTTGAGAAGAGTTTGTATTGTATGCATTGTTTGAAGAGGATGATGAATTATTGTTTCGACACCCTTGATGAACAGAACACATTTATGAAATTCAAAATGAAACTAAATTCCTTTGCATTTTAAGAAGAGTTATATATGACAACCAGTGAAAGAGTAGGAACTCTGTTTATGCATCAGAGCAGTCTGATCATTTGGAAAAAAGTTTAAGAAGTCATTTGACACAGCCAGTATTGGCTTATGAAAAAAAGAATTTTGTTCCCCACCTATCCTCATGTGCAAGGAGTCCTCTTAGAAAGACAGTCCTCACTATCATATTCAACTATCAAAGAACAGATGCAGCTGCTATGTCTATGTCTATATAGACCCAACCTCCACTGAAATAATGCTGACTACTGTAACCATCAGGAAGAGAGTAGGAATGTGACTGTACAGCTATACTGCTTCTGAAGTAGAACTTCTAAAAATCTTAACTCTAAACACTATCAATCACAGTTTTAATGCAACGCAGATTTCCATGGCCATCTACAGACTGACAGCTGCTCAAAACTTAGTTAATTTTATTTGCCATCTCACGTGAAGTTCCTTCAAAACAAAAGTAAAATGGATATGAGGGAGACTACTTAAAACTGATAAACAGCACTAAATTCCAAAACATAAGGTAGTTTACTTACTATAACCTCTCACAATCTTTTATTTTCAGAAAAGAAACTATGAAACACCCTAATTTTGAAAATGGGCAGAAGGTTGTGATGGTTTTTTTTTATTTACTACTCAAAAAGAATTCTCACCTCTTTTCAAAGAGACAACACATGAAAGAATTTTATCGTAATCAAATGCCACGTCAGACCAACCCTTAAAAAAAAAAGTGTGAAAATTCTTCTCCCTTACTTTGGAAATTGTTGCATGCGTTTCTTTTCCCCGAAGTAATAATGCATTGATCTCTTATATTTCTACTACTGGCTGAATGAAACTCTTGTTACCTTCTTCCAAGCAGTGTAAATAACAAGAAACAGCCAACATGCAGCTGTTAAATGACAACAAAACTGATGCACTTCATGGACAACACAGATGAGTAACAATGCCTGCGATTTCCCATGTTTCAAATGATTGAAAATCCCAGTGGAAAGGGTATGAGCCTCTGATTTCAAAAGACAGTAACTCACAAATATAATTGGGTTTCTCTTCTTCCAATTAAAAAAGCAATAAAATGCAAGACAATGAAGATTACCTGGTGTATTTTCTTTAGAAGCATCTGAAGTCAGGGTAGATAGAAGAGCTTCAGATTTAAACTTCTTTTCAGGAACATGATCTGTTGTACTATGGTGAGAAGATGGATTGTGTTTCCTTTCTAAATGAAACAAATGGAGGGAACTTAAATGTAAAACCTTTTCAGCATGAAAGTCAAACTATAACCAGACATAATAAACCAGCACTTTCGACTCATTCCCACCAGCAAAATCTTATTGTTTCAATCTTGCACTTCTTCTGAATAGATATTATTATCACTGCATTATGCCTTTCCCCCCCACCCCCCCAATGTTTGGAGAAAGAAGAAAAAAGTTCTGAACTTTTTTTTTTTCTAATACTACTCAACAAAAAATAAGGAAACATAAAATGTAGATGTGTTCTTAAGTCTCAAAGACTTACTCTCTACTGGAGTGTGAGAATGGGCGTGATGGTTATTCACAGGCTGTGATGGTGTATCCAGCTCCAGAGACCCTAAGAGGGAGGTAAAAAGGATAGGAAAATTTCAGTCATCATTGCCATGGTTTTGATTTTTAGATACTACATGAATCTTTATAATATTAACCAAATCACTATGCAGTTATATTTATTTTAATCAGAAGGATTTTTGCTAGAGTTGAAACCCTTCCTGTACTACAACCAGGAGCCGCTGAGGAGAACAGTTTTAAAATAAAAACTGGTGACTGCTGCTGTTCAACTGTTGAAATTAAGAAGTTAAAATCAAGACCAATAAGGAGAACAAACAACAACGTTGCTGTCAACATGCCACTTATTCAAATGAGTTGCACACAAGCCGGTGACGTTTGGAGAATGCTGTACCAAACGTACTGACAATCTACAACAATATGAATTGAAAAGAAGATTGTACCAGGTAAACTGTGTTAACAAGGCATCTTGTCACACCGAGTCAAAACACACAAGCGCTAGCAAGGCCTTTCGAGATGATCTAACACTCAACAGGAAGGGCTTCAGATCATTATCTGAATTTTCTTAACGTTCAAAATACAGAGCAACAATCCAAAGGCCGGGGGGGGGGGGGGGGGGGGGAAAGGCAGGAGGGGCACAAATGCAAGTCTATGTCTAAGAATAACATTTCTTGTAATATGAGGCTAAAGGATCGCAGCATAGGAGAGACTTTGACCATAAATTTCCATTAGAACAATATACAACAGTTTATGTATCAATCTTTGGCAAAAAGATTTTGAACTAGCTGCAATACCTACCAACTTACGTTTATACAGAAGACAATCCAAGAAAGTAATTCACATTCATTTTGCAAAATCTGTAGCTTCAACGTTTCTTTACCCCTTTGTTTTTCAGTGCTTTCCAAAATTACATGAGTGTATTACAAAAGTTTAAAGAAAATTATTCTAGATGAAGTTCAAAGCATAAGGAGATATTTTGGCCGAGCTAACATTAATCATGCTATGAACTAGTCCAAAGGCTGCCCTCTGGCGGAACCTCAACAATATGTATTTACTCTGAAAGGTAAAAATATTAAGTGGCTTCTACTTTTCACTTTATTAAAAAATAAAATAAATACCTTAAGGATGCAAGGTGCAGTCTCGTACATTTCTATCTTGAGTTCTTGAAATTCTACCTACCTACCTCACCTCGCCAAACACATAGCTCAACTGAAGGTAGTATCACATCTTAAAACTGCAGCTGAGATACCAACTAAGATAAACTAGTCCTTTTCTGTAGTTCCTAGTTCATTAAAAGCACGCACTTTGCAGGTTTGTTTTTGTGCCTGTTATCTGTAATAGCAATTACAAATAAAAAATCCAAAACCTCCCAGCTTTTATGACAAAGCCACACAAAGTTCAAAGAAAGAATATTTATTTCTAATCTCCTCGAGTGATTTAAGTTACTTCTCACTGTTCCAGGGTATGAGAACAGTCACTGCCTCTTAGCTCCATAATCACAATAGTTAAATCAACTTTGAAATTTATCATAATCACATTTGAACTTTATGTCTAAATGCTGATGCGTACAGAAAGGCCGAATTCTTCCACACTAAGCTGGCCAAAAAGCTGGCACATTACATTTTTGTTCACATACTGAATACCAGCATTGCTATATTTGTTAAGCATGCAGGTTTCTTACCCAAATGCTTCTCCCTCACTACCCCATTACAAAACAACCCACTCTCTCCCCTTTAAAAAAAGAAAACCACTAAGTACCTAACTTTACTTGACATTCCACACCTATAACTAAAATAATGACCTTCCTCAATTTGGTGGCAATCAATTCAAGTAAGAAATGGTACACTTTTAACTGGGTAGGTGGCAAGCTTAGGCTGAAGTACTTGTCTGAACACCTACAGTTATTAAAAACAGGTTTAAAGAATTCTGTACCTTACTGTAGCAATTGACAAGTGCAACAGTTGTGCGAAAAAAACATTATTCTAATTACTCACTTGTATTTTGACTTCATTGGTAAAAACTGAGGTTGAAACTAAAATTTGAGAATCGCTGACTGATGAAAAAGCATGCGGGTTAAAACACAATTTTGAAACAAGTGGAAATACTGCCAGCCACTAACAAGCGTATGATATTTTAATTTTGCAAATTGACAGAAAATCTGTCAAGTTCTTGAAGAAAATCATGCATACTTACGTCTCTCTAGTATTTCTGTAATTCCAGCATTATCTGCTTCGAGTTCCATTTTAAATTTAGCAAGTTCCTGGTCCAATTTTCTCAAATGACGGTCTACCTGTTTTTGAGACAAAGCAACAATAAATAGCATCCAGTTCTAGAACACGAATATCGACATACTTAATCTCTGGCTTGCTAAATATTTCCCTTCCAGCAATTCTCTGCCATGCAGCACTAAGCACGTATAAAAGCACGCAGAAGCATAACTTCTCAGTCACCTACATTTCCCTAACTCAGCAGAGATGCTACAGTTAACACCAAAATAGCGCTGTTGCTCCTAAGCTGTGCAGTCAATCCCAGCATACAATAAGGCTGCATATTGGCTCAGCAGCTAGAAGCGCTCCTCTTACTGTAGGCTATGTTCCAAGACACAGCGTTAAGTGTTTTGTTTGAGAAAAAAGATTAAGAGGACTTGGGGGCGTTGTGGGTGCACGTATAGAAAGGAGAAAGAACAGTACCTAACATGCACTTTAGAAGAAATTGGGCTGCATTGGGGAAACTGCAAGTTTACTGAATTGCAGTTTGTACGCCACTATACACATCACTAAACTTAAGTATTCAGTAAAAGGGTCTCTAAACTGAAAGCGTAAAGACTCCTGTGCATTGAGTAAACTATGACATGCTCTTGGGTACTGAAAATTACCAAAAAACCACAAACACACACGCCCCCAAACTTAATATAATGGAAAGAAACACTATGTTCCAAACGCTTTCTTCATCTGTAGTCATACAGCAGAATTCTAAACTATTAAAAATTGAACACGTTTTTGCAGTTACCAGCTAACCAAAAGAGAGGAGTAAGTTCCAACTTTTGGAACTAACTTTTAGTTAACTGAAGTGAAACTAAAGCAGGCAAGACATATTTGTTTTATGTCTACTATATTTTAGTGCAGTCTGACTTGCAGGTTCTGTTCTCTGAGAAAATGTAAAATAAATATGCCTAAAATTAAAAAAACACAGGCTATAAGGAAAAGTAACTCGCTCGTGGTCTCCTTTCAGAAAAAAAATAAATAGAACAACATCAACATGCATGAAAACCTTGTGATTTCTAAAATTATTTCTGTATGTTTTGTATTTAAGTGACACTACCCAAAGCAAGAAAATTCTCCAAAGTCAGTAAAATATTCAGTATTTCTTTCACCAGCAAAAATATCTCTATGTAGCTGACATAACAGTACAGGTAGCACAGTTGTTGTGCTTATCAAATTGTTTAGAACTCCTCAGGGCATAAATTTAGGTAATTCGCCACAAGCCTTCTGTCCACTTACCAAATCATATATTTGATTAGCCAGCTGCACTTTTTCATCTGCATCTTCCAAGGCCTTATAATAATCCTGTTATAAAGAGAATTTTTTTTAAATTATGAAAGTACCTGAATTACTTTCATCAATTTAAGCTACTGTTATCCAGCACAAAATGTAAGTTTAAAGGAGAAATTCAAGTTGTTTTTCAGAAAGACTGTGAAACTCTACTGTAAACAACAATTAGCTAAATTTTAGATGAGAGATATTAAACATCAATTTATCGTTTGTGCCTTAGAAAAAGCCAAACTGCAAGATGCGGACACTTCCTCCTACAGTGGTATTTACATTTCTGCAAGAAATGCTACAAGAAAGGAAACAGTCTTGGATTTATTTTATATTACACAGCATAATGTTATGGACTCAAAATGAGATGATGTCTTTTACTTTGTATGGATCTTTAGGACCACTGCAGATACTACTGCCCTTCAAAATGATGCTAAACAGTACTGTGAGGGGAGGCCTTTCTAGCACTGCAGTTAAATAGAGATAATTATGTATATAGTTTATAGTTTAACTTATTTTAAAATACATTTCTATTAACTCATATGTGTATTCTAAAGCTATCCCATTTTAAAGTCTGCTTTAACAAACAAAAAACAACAGACAAAACTTTTTTTATTTTATAAAGTATGTTTACACATGTTTTTACTCTAGTTTTAAACAGGTTTAAGTGCCTTATTAGTCTCCATTTCCACTGAACAGTATCCTGCTTAGGCGAAAACCACTTGTAATCTTGGTTCAACTGAAGTCGAAAGCAAATTTTTCATTTTCTCCAGTAAAGTAAGAGCTTTGACTTCTTCTTTTTTTAAATACAGAAATCTATTTGTATTAATTAAGGAAAAAAAGCCCTTGGACAAGTAAGTGGCTGAAGTAGCAAGTGTAGGAGACTACAAAGGAGTTTCTCCTGACAAAATGATGGACTACCTTGCTAACAATACCACCACCAATGCCCGAGTGTTGAAGGATAAAACAAAACACATCCATCTTACTCGTCCCTCCCTAAAGCTACATATACCACAGGTATAACACATACAAGGACATAGGCAGAATCGCAGGAAATGCTGAAGCTAAGCTTGAAAAACATCCTCTAAAAGAAAGCCAGTTAACATGCAACTTCATGTCACACAAGCAGAAACAAAAAGTCTGAGCTCAGAATTTAGTACCTGGTTTCCTCACCATTTCAGGATCATAATTTTTAAAATGCCAGCAAATACTAGGTAAAACTTTAGAGAAATGCTTGATCAAAGAAACCTTTCAGTCATTTTTCTCCTCCTAGGTAGTTCTATCCATCTCTGTGAAAGCCCAAGGGAAGTCACAGTTCTGAACGCTTAAGTCTCCATCAATCATAAGCTATTTTTTCTTAAGGTTATCTTCGTTTGCAAAAGAAAAATGCAACCCACTCTTGTGATATCCTTACTTTTTTGATTGATGTCATTTGTTCTTCTCTCCATTCAGGTTTGTTTTTCTTTGCGTTCATAAAAAATTCGTTTACCCTCTGCTCAAGCTGATCCATTGCATCTGTAGCACAGGAAAAGATTGAGAAAAATGTTATCTTCTCATGTACATAAACATTATGAAACAAGGCGGAATTTTTTTCTTAAACAAAGTCGACAGGACTGAGGTGCAAACTATCAGAGAGGAAGAAACCAAAACAACCAAAACAACCAAGTGACAGTGGACAGAGGAGGGAAATATTTACCTTAATTTCCAAGAAGGAGAATTGCATTCTGGTAGGATTCTCATCAGGGTTCTTGTGCTCTCCAGCATGGGACAGGCAGGACTCCAAGTTCTAAAGGTTTTTTGTCCCTAAGAGCAGTGGTAGTGACTTAAAGCACGACCCAAACTCCTCACCCAGGGCTCTAGACTGCTGACTTTGGAACATTCTAGCCAGTTACAAACTGAGCAGGAAACAAAATGTTCTCCTAAGAGAAACAGTCAAATACAAAACCAAATAATTGAAAAAATTAGTGCCTCAAAAAGGTAGAGCAACTGAAGAGTCAAGTCACCATCTAAGTCAAGGCCCTCTCCATTGTATGCTAGGAAGGGTGAGGGCAAATTGAAAGCACTCACAAAGTCACTCCCCCCACCCCCACACAGTAGCACTAAGGGGTAAATGCACTGATGAAATACTATCTGGACAGGATTCTCACTTACATGAAGTTGAGAAATATCCTAAGGGAAAAAATAAAGCTACCAATTCTCTAACATTAACTATCATAAGGAAGGAAAATGTCAACTACAAGTTGCTTCATTTCGTTGTTTATTGAGTCAGAAACAGGGATTCCCTTCCCTTTCCCTCCACCCTCCTTCAAAATTAAAAAAAAAAAAAAAAGGCACTGAGTTTACTATTTCAACAGCTGGACACTTGTGCATGCAACAGCTTGCATATTTCCAAAAACATGCAGCTGCCTTAGTCAAACTAGCTTGGACAGCCTTGCTAGTCTCAGGATAGATGATAGTACTGAAAATTTTTTCACAGCACTCTCAGCAATACTGTACAGATAGCAGTTTCAAATTAAACGTGACAATGCACCAACTACCTACAGACTTCAGGCTCTGGATGTAAAACTCTTAAGATACTTTCCAGAAACCACCATTAAAACTGGATCACATGATGGCCATCAACTCTTACAAAAACAAACAAACAAACAAACCCCCCCCCCAAAACAAACAGAAAAACAAAACAAACAAAAAACCCCACACCAAAACCAGTGAATTAACTAGTTCAAGAAACTCATGAATCCCCAAGTATGATTAACTCTTCAAATCCAATGAAGTCCAAAGGTTTTCTCACTCTGAAAATTCACAACTAGAACTAACTGTTCACATAAATAACCAAAAGTCATTCACACTAAATGATCAAAAACATCCATCGATTTTCCCTATGCTAGGAATATCCAGCATCAAAACCAACAGTAACCCAACAACTGATGGGACAGAGCACAATTAATCCCAAGCCAGAACAGTTGTGACATAGGGTCACATCAACTTTACTTAGACCCAAACAAAGTAGTCAAACAGTTTTGGTGTAAAACACTTTAAAGATGGGAGAATCTGTACAATGAGCATTTTCCACTTGCACTGTGTTATTCAGGGGGAAGATGAAGAAGCCTGAGCAGCAAGCAAGCAGCACATACTTCATGCGGAGGCTTCTAAAGCTTTGTTCTTTGTCCAAAAGACTATAATTTGGTCCATAAAGCCAACAGACAAAATGTTCTATCTCCTGCTCCCAGAGTGCAGACAGCTAGGTGATAATTATTCTAATGGCTCCATAGACACGAAAAAAAAAAAAATTCTTTCTTCTTTACTTTTTATTGAGGACAAATATCAGTCTGTGTGAAACTGCGTAAGGGAAAACTTCCACAGAAACCTCGTCTCTCCTGAAAGGGCAGAAATGGCAAACAGGAATGCAGGTCAGATCTATTAAATTATATGAAAAGTTCTCTCTGGTACACTCAAGTTCCTTCACCTTTTCTTCCCCCCCTACCTTTTCAATCCAACTGTGATACTATATTCTGAGATACTAATTTCTTACACGAGATTTCCCAAGAGAGTTGCCAGAAATGCTATTAGAAGAGAAGCCTTCTTCCAGAGCTTGACATTTTACCATGGAGGCCTGATAATCCGTGATTTGAACTTAAATAGAGAAACACATTTTATGCTCCACATGGAGCTCAGCTAAAGGTCAAGAGTCAAGTCACAACCCAGATGGTCTTCACTCCTCCCACAGCAGCCTTACCAGGACATACAGTAGGTACAGCTGGTTTATTATTTCTTCCAACAACAAACAGCAGCACCTGACCCATTAGAAGTCCATGTGGTCCAAACAGGACAGAATATAAAGTCAACATTGACTCTGAAACACAGCAGCACAGTTATCTCTGAATTACAACTCATGTAGGTTTCTGGGGCAGCATTGCTCACCGAAGTACTGTTTTCAAGTACTTCAGAGAATCTTCACAGTAAGTCACTATGTCACAGCATGAGAACAACCTCCAGGTTTGCACGTAGCATTCAGTGGGCAGTCTGGCAACTGATGTTGAAGAGATGCTAGTCCAGAAGTTTTGTAAATGTCTTTGGATGCTTTGTCACTCATTGTGCAAGAATTACAGAAGTACCAAGGTCTGAGATAATTTTTCTCTGGGTCTAAGGTTGGCTTTAGTATACAATATTCAGTGTTACTTGCTACTTCCAGTAATACAATATGGAGTGCTATTCGCCACTTCCAGTTAAAGCAGAGGAAATGACACTACTGCAACCTTGGCAGTGCTAGTTGGCTCAGTTCTGAAAAACACTTCAGAAAAACTACTAGCTTCTTTGTGTCCCTACTGAATAGAAGTAAAATCTGTGAACTTACTCAGAACTACCTAAGTCAGTGAGCTGCTCACTCCCCCTCCTGGTGCTCCCTAGCGACAGCTACTTCAGAGGTGTCATCTCCCATAAGGAGCCATTGCTCTGTTCCCACAACTTTAAGAACTGAACCCAAGACAGCACTTAGGCCATAGTATACAAAAAAAAAAAAAAAAAAAATCTTACAGACAGTTCAACATGTGTCAATGAAGCCTGTTAAACAGACCTGCTGGGTCCACTAATGCAAATGTCCAAGGGAAAGCCTGAGACCGCACTTCAAAGTATTACAGGTTAAACCATTGTTTTCAAGAACTGTGCTCCCACGGCGTTGCATTTTGTACTCCTGTATGGCATTCACTTCTTATTTCAACCCTTGCTCTTTCTCTCGTTCTTCTTTACAATAGTCTGACCCTTCTGTATTCACGACTCATCTTTTGTGCACTAAGTTTCATTAACAAAGACCTTTGTATCACAGTTACAGGTATTAATACAAATATTAATTGTGTGTTAAACGGCAGCAACGCCTAACTGGGTTTTACGGGACACCCCAGTCCCAGGTGAGAGACTACATTAGAAAAGATGAAAAGGCAATGCTCCCTGAAAACGGCATAATGCAGGGTGTTATATCAGGATATAAGCAGAAATATACGAAGCGACCTACAAAGGAACCTACAGCAGACCGCACCTTTGGCTGCGCGTCTGCTAGGGCACAAGAGGCTAAGCAAGCAGCACCGTCACATACGCTAGTATGAGGGGAGCTGGCTGGAAAGTTTCAGAGACAGCATGCCGCTACCTGCTGAGGGAGCGGGACATAACTCACGTTCCAAACCACCATCACTGCTCTTAGGGATCAAAAATCTGAAGAGTTTGGGACGTGCCACGGAAAATGCCTTTGGGAGCAGCACAAGCCCAGGAGCGAAACTCCTGCGACATCCTACTTGCGCCGAGACGGGCCGGCGGGCGGCGGCC